CTGACAGATCAGACTAGGTTTACTGGAGTCTGTTAACTTTTATCTGATTCTGCTAATGTCATACCCTTTTGTGTTTATTTAAACTCTCATGCCCAATGATATTGTATTTTCAAATGCTATTCTAGGTGAATTATTATGTGTAACATGTTAGTGTAAAAGTTTGTTATTTTTAAATGTGAAAAAAAGTTTGTGTGCTTAAGATCTAGGCTTGCATATATTAATCCTATGCCTATTACAGTTGCTCTATAATTACAGAAGAAATAAATAGCATTGAACTTGTTTTGATTCTAGATTTAAAAGTGTTGCTACAGGAATATAAACAATTTTGTAACTCTTGAGTTTCTTATAAATTTGAGACTCAATGTGGAATCTTATGTCAATTTGTGAACATTGAAACATCATTTTGTTCTTAATTTTCTCTTTTTAGTATTTTAATATGTAATTCCACCCTCATTTATGTTTCCTTCCTCAAAGAAAGAGTTTCTTTCCATTTTAGGAGGATTTTTCTTTTAAGGGGTTGGGCATCACATAATTCAGTTTTTGACATGCTAAATTTAAGATGCATATAGTACTTTTATGTGTTGAATGTCATACAATTAGGTATTTGAAAGTCTGAACCTTAGGAGTTTTAGTTTCTGAATTAGGAAACAGTTATCTCTCTGTGTGTATGTTGCTATTTACCTACCAAGGAGATAGTATAGATGGACAATATTTAATACTGGAAGCCTCTAGAGTTAGCTATATTTGAAAGCCAAATGGTGCAGACTTAGGAAATTTTGAAAATATAAAGAAAAAATGGAAAAATAGTAAAATATTTAAAGTCAAGAGGAAAGAAAGATTAAGAATGAGAAAGATGTGACTGATGTGTCACACAATACAAGGAAACTAGGGGAGGAAAGATTTTTCAGATCAGTTATATTTGGTTGTAGATGATTATTAGGTATTTTGATGGGATCTATTTTAATTGTATAATAGAAAAGAAAATAGATACAGCAAATTAAATGAACTCAAATTAAGAATTTGGAGGCATCAATATGGACTTTTTTTTAAATAGGTGTTTGACCTGAAACAATGAAATAAAGGATGCTAGTTTAGAAGATAATGTAACATTAAGTTAAATAAATTATTTGCTTATTTAATTTGCTTTTATTTTTAAAAACTATTAGTTATTATTGATTCTTTTAAGACAGGAGAAGTGAGTAAATGATCCTGCAGGGAAAGAGGTTCAGGAGGTGGAAGACAAGAGGAGATTAATAAGTGATGTGATGCTCCTTGTACGTGTGGAAGGGTGTACCAAAGATAGGCTAATCAGTGCAAGGAGCAGAGAGCTCTTTTTCTCAGTCAGGAGAGGGAGACAGATTAGAGTGGTAAATTTCAGAACAGTGCACTACAGCATTTTTGAGGCACTTTGCAGAAATTGCCTCCATTTTTCCCTAAAGGCGGAGCTATACTACATTACTGAAGGTGAGGGTAAAGATGATAGAGTATAAGATGAGACTTGTTGGAATGGTCTTTTTGTGAAGCATGTGGAAGAATATGTGGTTGCTGATGTCACCGATCCTTCTGTGTGGATTTCCTTGGAAGACTCAGGAACCTCAGATGGGAATTTGGAAATTATTTAGTTCACTCAGAATAGATGATTTTGTTGTTACAGTTCAGTGGTTGACCAGTTTTGCAAAGGAGTTGGAACATAAGCAAGAGTGTGTTGAAAGTAAAAGAATATAGAGGTTAGGTTAGAGAATACAGGATTTAAAAGCAGCAAAATAGTTGGGCGTGGTGGTCCATGCCTGTAATACCAGAACTCAAGAGGCTGAGGCAGAAGGATTGTTGCAAGTTTGAGACCAGCCTGGGCTGCATTGTGAGCTCAAAGTCAGCCTGAACTGCGTAGTGAGAACCTGTCTCAGAAAGACCAAGTAAATAAAGATAGACAGTAAAAGAAATGCCAAGGGAGTCATAATAAGGTCTGATAATAAGAACAGATGTAGCAGTCGGAGGACAGTGAAAGCCCTGATTAAATTGGCAGAGAAAGTCATAGTGGGGACTAGGGGCTGAAGGAGAGATGTCTGCATTAAAGGTGGAAGTTCTGTTAAAAAACTAGGCAGAAGCCTTCGAGTCAGTGTCTAAAGTGCATGGAGTCAGAGCCAGCTGGGAATCAGGAAGGTTAGCAAGGGGTTACCACATGGTCTGTGGAGTCAGGTTAGCCAAGTGCTAATTCCATGCCCTGGTTATTTAGTGCTTATGCTTTCTTGGACCAAATTTTTAACTTCACCAGCTCTTATGCTTATGAGAGCTGCTTTTTTGCTTATGACAAAAATTGGCATAATAGTGGCACCTTAACTTTACTTTTGTGATGGGATTGAATGAGGCATTTCTTAGAAAGTATTTGTTCAGTCTCTGGCACAAGCCAGCTGCTCAGTAAGTTTCAGCACTAGTTGTGGAATAGTTTATTGTTGTGAGCACTCTGTGTCATTTAGATCTCAGCATATGCATCAGGACCTACTGAAGACCCTCTCTGCTAGTCAAGACTGAACTGCAGACCTAAGCAGGTCTTCAGGTGACTTTCCATCATGCTTTAATTCTGGACATGAATACTTCTCCAGTTAGTCTGCTGAAGGCAAGACTAATTAATTTTTCTGTAAATCACGTGTCTACATTGCATATAGTAGGTACAGTCTTCTTTGTTCCAAGAATTTGTTCCAAAAATGAAAAAAAATCAGGTCTAATTCTCCTTTGGGTGGAATCACTTGGTTGCTTCTTGTTAATAAAATTGATAGAATATTGGAAAAACTTAGAATAATGGCAAAGGTGGATTGTAGTCAGTAGTTTTTCTGATTTTATTTTAGAATTTTCCATAAAAACAAGTACACAGTTCTCAATTTTACTGTTTTGTTTGAGTGGACTAAGGAGTGGCTCATATTTGTAGGATGCTTGAATTTAATAAACTGAGGAAATGTAAAACCGGAGCTCAGAAAATAAATGTTTTCAAGGCATTGTTATTTGAAGAATTTTTTGCCATGATGGGTGACATAATTGTGACTTTAATCTTGGGGAAACTGTGTTTAACTTTATTTGAGACACTTACCATGATTATTGGAATTAAGATCTAAAAATTCTGCTGTTGGGGCAACAACACGTAAATATTTTTAGTCTGTTCAGTTATCAATGGCTTAGTATGAGGTAGACATTTGCTTATTCAGCGACAGTGTCTGTCTACTCTTAGGAGCTTATTCTTAGTGTGACCTTTTTATATTATTTGTGTGATCCTTAGGTATTTGGAAGCAAAAGATCATCAGGGATAGCTTATGTGAAATATCGTAAGCACTTAATTTGTAATTTGTCCCTTACAGAGTTTTTTGTAATGGATTAATGTTAATGGCTATAGCATTCTTTTACTTGTTTAAAGCAATATTCTATTGTTTTGAACTTAAATATTGTTCTCATTAAAATATGAAGTAGTCATAATATTTAATATAATTTCTAATACATTAATGACTGCCCTTATTTTTCCCTCTTTTATTTATTAAGTTTATTGGTACATTTTAGGTATACATAATGATCACATCTTTCCTAGGCAATTTATACCTGTACGTGATAAAACTTGTTTCTCTTTTTTTTCCCATTTCTCTACCCTCCTTTCTACCCCTCTTTTCTTCCTTATTTACACAAGCTTTGTTTCCATTTTTCTTTTCTCATTTTTTCTTTTCCTTTCTTTCCCTCTTCTCCCTTCTAAATTCTCCTTCCCATTTGAACATTTCCTTATTTCATAATATCTATTTGACATTAATAGCCCTTATTTACACTTTCAGTTTCTCACATCAGGGAAACAGTGTGGTATTTATACAAGTGTGTCTGATTTATTTCATTTAAGAGTATGTTCAGAAGTATGATCATGTATATATTTACTTAAGAGTATGATCTCATCCATTTAGCTATAAATGTCTCAGGCTTATTCTTCATTATGTGCTCTTATTTTAGAAGATTGAGATTTTAAAATTTTCTTCTTTTTTTTTTGTCTTTTTTGAGATGGGGTCTCACTATGCAGTTCAGGCTGGCCTTGAGCTCACTTTGTAGCCCAGACGGATCTTGAACTCGCAACGATCCTCCCACCTCAGCCTCCCGAGTGGTGGGATTACAAGCTTGGGCCACCATGCCCAGCTTAAAATTTTCTTCTTAATTGGAAAATATTCCTCATAAATTAAGTTTTCTTAAAAATCTTTATTTACTATAGTAGTTCATGACCACTGAGATAAGTGTTTCAGTTGCAACATTATGTCAGTTTAGCCTGAAATAACCTGTCAACGACACTTCACTGGGAATCTTTCAAGTTAACTTTTAAATATACTATTAAATATACTTTTAAATATACTATTATCTATACTGACGTTTCTGTCATTAATGCTCATTTTATTGTTACTGACTTTTATTTTATTGTAGTAAAATTTTATGTTCTGCCAGAGAGTGAAATGTTATATTCCTTTTTTTTTTTTTTTGTCTTTTTCATTTTTATCAGTACCAGGGATCGAACTCACGACCGCCTGCTTGCAAGGCAGGTGCTTATGCCGCTGAGCTAAATCCCCAGCCCCTTTTCTTTTTTTTTTTTTTTTTTTGTTATATTCCTTTTAATGATTTTCTAATAATCTGACACATTCTAAATCACTGACATTCCTTCAATTGAACAAAGCACTAGATTTTTACAAAAATAATGCACGTTGTTTTTCTCCATAATGTCTTTTATTTTAGTGACAACAGAAAATATACATATTTTCCCTTTGGGATAACAGCATAAAAAAGAGGTAATATTTCTGTAAAAATCTGTTCTGTGCTAATGTGATTGTGAAGTAGAAGAGGGCTCATATTTTCTGTAATGATTGTTAGCAAGATGTAATATTGATCGTTTTCATTTCAGTGTCACTAGCAATTCATATTTGATGACCTTTTGCACATTCAACTTTGACACTCTTTTCAATTTATTTTTTATGATTTATATGCTTTATTCGTAGACTTTAGTGTGTGAACTGGAGGACAAGGAAAAACAACAACTACAGATGTTGGATAAACTCAAAGAGATTCAAAATCACTTTGACACATGTGAGTCCAACCGTAAGCATGCTGACCTCCAGATCTCAGAGCTGACTCACCATGCCGAGGACGCTACCAAGCAAGCCGAGCAGTACCTCAGTGAGTTGCAGCAGTCAGAGACTCTGAGAGAGGAGGCAGAAAAGAGGAAAGCAGAGCTGAAAGCGAAAGCACAAGAGTCCATTAGGCAATGGAAGCTTAAGAGTAAGAAGTTAGAGCGCGCACTGGAAAAACAATCTGAGACTCTTGAACAACTGACAGAAAAGAACAATCAGGTATAAAAGCCAAATTCCTGTGGAATGGTTATTGCTGCAACTAGCTATTTATTCATCATGCTTTGACCAAACACTTGAGTGCCATGCTGTGCATAAAGTCTAACAATATATCCTTGAGAGAACAGTCTATTAATATTTGGCTATGTTAAGGTAAAAAGTTACTTAGTTTTTGTATTTTTTAAAACTCATTTTAATAGTTATTATTCCAGGAATTTACATAGTTGATCCTTAAAATAAGCCTTCCCACTCCCTGAGTTTAGCTTCACATTCTTTAATTGAATTATTTTTTAATATTCTAAAATATTCAAATGGAAGAAAATCACTGAATCTCCTTTAGCAGTATAAGACTTTTCCTGCAGAGCATCTATTTTAAAATTCATTTATTTGTGTATTTCAGTCTAAGAAATTGGTTGAAAAGGAGTATTTAGAAAAAGGCAATAGAAGCCAGGCATGTGACACACACCTGTAATGTAAGCACTCAGGAGACTGAGTCAGGAAGATTGCTGTGAGTTTGAGGCTGGCCCCGGGTTACATAGTGAGTTCCAGGCCAGGGTAAACTACACTGTGTTTTTCTGACAATAACTATATAATAGGCTTAATTAGATAAGTGATAATGACAGTCTCACTAACTGAGTTAGTGTTATCAGATTACAAGTCTCTTCAAAAAGATTCTACTGTTGTGTCCTTTCAATAGCAACAAGGAAGTTTTTACTTTTCTATGTATGCATTTCACATTATCTTTTCTCTTATATAATCTGTTACTTTAAATGGATTTGCTGCTCTGATGTTGATTCTTTGCTGTATCTTTAGGCAGAATTAAACCCAGATGTTCATAACATAAGAAACAGGAAAGTCAAGATTGATTTTTATCCATGTTTAGTCTTGGCTATCATTTGTGCTTTGCCATTTGTCACTTGTCAAGAACTCTTAAGTTCTAGAAGAAGAATAATTTGGATAAGTAAGCCTTCAAAAGAAAACAAAATGTGAGGCATTATATTTATACTTTACAAATGTAAAAATATATTGATGGTACATTTAGAAAGCTGAAGCACTTAAGGGCAGCTGACGCTTTTTCAGATGAGGTGTCTCTGAGAAGATGCTTTATCTTTTACAAATGAGTGTTTCAGACATACAGAACATGAAGGAAGTACTCAGCTGTGGAGTGCTCTTCATTTAACACATCTGACACGTAAAGAATGGGAGGCTGCCCTCTAGTGAAGTGGCTTTAAAGCTTTCAGACTTGAATCTTTGATCCTAGAAAATAGTTCTATCTTGGTTATTCTCTTGTCGACCTTATCTATAACTTTCCCGTCAGGGAAGTAACTAGCAGGAAGAGTGGTTGGTGACAATGATTGAGAATTCTCTGGACGTTTTACTTAATTAGAGGAAATTAGAGGGGTCCATGTCATCAGACAATATCACAGATCATGCAGCACATCACTGATAGTTTTCAGAATATTAAAAATTGTTAAACAGTCATTTCCCAGAATACTCCTGATATAATTATTTTTATCATTTAGCATTGCTAATGATAAGCAAAGAAGTAGTTTTAAAGTGATTGCCACAGTTAGGATAGTATCACAATTATCACAGCAGGCATTGTAATTTCTCCTTTAAAAGCCTTAAAAATTAATGCAGCATGTCGGCGCAGTTAGAGCAGTGGTTAATCAAGGAAGAAAGGGAAGTTTGTTTCACTGCAGATGGAAGTATCTGGTAAATCTGTGATGTGGAAATGCCTACTAAATAATTTTTTAAAAATATCTTACATGTTGGGGATATTTGATTTTTAATAAAATTAAAACATTCACTTTAAGTAAAAAATAATATAGCCTATTCCCTTTATGTTTTTGGCTAGTTTAAAAATGAATCCAGAGTATAAGTGGAAATATATACAGTGTTGAAATAAAAATACTGGTTCATAAATAGAATGTCTTATTAAAACAATAAATTATTTAGTAATAGAATAGCCTTGCTGACCTGTTTTATCTAGTCAAATGAGATAGTCTTTGTATTTGCAAAAATAGTTCTGTGCCTATATCCATTTCCATTTCTAACATAATTTATTTCTGTTTTAAGATTTGCCATGTTAATAAAAAATTATATAATATATACAAAAGACAAATGCTCTTATTCTCTTAAAGTTTTGAACCAATTTTTTTTTTCCTGTTCTTAATGTATATAGTTTATTTCTGGAGTGTTGGTAGGGTGTTATGAAACTACTTCATTACAGAAGAATATGTGGTGTCAAATAAATAGCTATCATTGCAGGAAACAAACAAATCAGGCTTTATTTTTTCCTTAAAAGACAATAATGTATACATTTTCATCAGGGAATCATGGGGTGTTTATATGAACACATAATGAGAGACTAAAAGTGAATAGATACAAGTAATCTTGTTATCAGTTATGATATTATTCTTTTAAAGTGTTGTATGAAATTACTGGTTTTTATGTGTAGTTTGAAAATGATAAAGGATAAAAATCTGAACTTCCACTCTGATTTTAGTATAAATCTTTCTCAGTTCTTTCCTATTTTTTTTTTAACTTTAAAATGGTAATACAGAATTTCAAAACCAAATAACGGGAAAATAACACTGGTTAATATATTGCATATTGTTATCATCAGAGTAGTTGTTCAGGTTATAAAATATAGGCATGAAAAATGATCAGTCATACACTGAAAGCCCAAACTGTTCTAATTGATGAACTAACAGATTAGCAGTATAGTTATTTATCTTATTTTTTTAAATAGATAATATTTTCTTAGGTTTTCTTTTCTGTTCTTTTTTTCCTACTGAATTGCCAGAATTACTGACTTGCCTATATATGAGTTTTGTGCTTAATAGTGTTTGACTTTAAGAATCTTAAATTGCCATCTTTTCCTTCTGTGTATTTCCCTCCTACTGAGAAAGAAATAGTTATATGTAATATATGCTGTGCTATGAAACCTGATTTTTTAAAATAGTTTAAAGAAAAAGTATCAAGTCTAAGTGCACCACTTTTAAAAAACGTGTATGCTTTCCTATCATGCACAATTCAAAGAAGTCCACAAAACTGGTATTTTCTGCATTTTTGTACATGCAGGAATGCAACATTAAAACATTCCCATTTGCCGTTTAGTAAAATAAAACCAGCAGTTCATATTTTGTGGTCAAGCCTTTGAGGAGTTGTCTCTTGTTCCTATAAATGCCGTGTTTTTAGCCAGTGTCATTCTTCTGTTTTTACAGGACCATTGTCAAGGCTAAGTGTCTGTAACAGTAGTGGTAAACCTATGGCCTGTGTGCCAAAGCAGCCTTTTTGTATCATTGAAACGCTGAAAGGCTTGCCATCACTGGTCTGTAATCTTCCCATTTGACCCCTTTCTCTGAAAGTTTCCCTGGCTATAGTATTCTTTTTCCATTCTTGTTCCTCATTACTAATTTTTTTAACCTCTCTCATATCTCCAAATTTTTCAAGGATTTTGACACCTGTTCCATGACATGTAATTCTTGCCATCATCCTTAATTTCAAAGGTCCAGCCAGTAAATCATTGGCTGTGTATCTTTATTCTTTACCAATTTCCTTTTTAACAGTGACCTACAAATCACTCCACTTTAGCAACTACTTCTGTGGTTAAGGTTTTTCTTCATTTTTAATTGTTCTTTGTTCAAACCTTCAGTTCCCAAATCTGTCTCTAATCTTTCAGAGACTTTTTATTCCCTTTTCCTTTTTTTTTTCAGCATTATCACTCCATTTGGATTTTTCCACATTCCTCTGGTTTATCAACCATTTCCTGCATTCATTTTTTCCCCAGTCAGATTGTACTACACTGAAAACCTGAACTCGCTACCACCTTCACTTTTTTCCTTTTGTCTCACACAGGAAGTACTGATCTCCAACCTGAGTCAACCCACTTTCCATTTCCCACTCCTTCTCCTGAGTAGTGAAACTTGCATAACTTTTAGTGGCTTCTGTAGTGTTTATAGCTGCCTTCTTCATGATTGCCTTCCTCCCCACCCCACACATCCCATTAAGCAGTTAATATCAGCCAGCCACTGGGCACACCATCCAGACCTCATTAGTGAGGAACGAGGTGTGAAGTCTCTTTAGGAGCTTGTGGTAGGAACTTACTCACTTCCTTGCACGTGGTTGTGTCTGTTAGGCCTGAAATGGCTGGAGCTGCCTTGCTATCATTCTGAGAAGAAAGGTTCACAAGACAAATTATTGCTGAGCAACCTGGAGCAAGCTGGAGCTAGCTTCTGATACTTCGTCTGTGTCAGGGACAGTATTTTAAACCAGTTTGAATTGGGGTTTTCTTATAGTCTCAGCAGAAGAAATTCAAGCCACGTTTGAATTTTAAAAAATACAAATTGTAGAATTGAGGAGCTATACATAAAGAGAACCTGAGTTTTAGGATTGACTGTGGAGATTTGAGGTAGGAGGAAGAATCTTCATGTTTTAAAGACAGTTGTTAAATTTGGCTACACCCTTGAGAGCAGTTGGTTAAGCTTTGGAAGTCATGTTTTGAGACACTGAGACTGTGGATCAGTGTATGGTATTAAGTGACTGGTAGGAAAATTTAGGATACTGGTACATAGATGTTTTAGCTTTTAGAAAGATGTTACAAGAGGAACATAAATTTAAATTGAAACTGGTCTGTTTAAAAGCAGCCATCAAATTATTGCTGTTGTGTGTGTGTGTGTGTGTGTGTGTGTGTGTGTGTGTGTGTGTAATCTACAATTCAAATTGAGTGAGTCTGAGTTTGATCATAAAAAGCAGCTGTGTTCAACCTGTAGCTCATGGACTGCGTGTGGCCCTGGACAGCTAGTAATATGAACCCACAAGACTGTACTATTTAACATTAGTGTGTGACTCGAGTGATGGAGACACATTATCAGTAATAATAGCAATAGTGGAGTGGTTTTAGGGGAGGATGCAGTGCAGGGTTAACTATGCTTCCCTCACCTGCTACACATAGTTGAACTGAATCGTGTGTCTGTCAGATGTTATGTGCACTTGTG